AGGAACACCATATTCGTGGATAATTTTCTCTCCAGAGTCAGACACAGATTTGATCTATTTGACTGCCTGGAAGGTTTTAAATACAGAGGACATTTACTCCAGAGGCTGTGAACACGTGAACATCATCACAGAATGAATCCTGTAAGTTGAAATACTCATAATCTGACCTGATAAATTATTGTATATAGGAACAAAAATATTAAACAGTATAAATTTGCATGTACTCACATAAGAAAGTAGACAATAGTGGCTATCGTTGCTATTCGTAGAAAATGGACAAAGATAACCATGTTCTAATTTTGCTTTCAACAACACCCAAATATCTGAGGATCACCTTCGATATCTGCTTGATTTCAGTCTTTGTAACAAAGAATATGTAATTTTAATGAGAAAAATCTGTTTATAATGATTTTAAGAGAATCATCATATTGAGCATGGAACAAGGCTCTTGGAAACATGTAATAAAGACATTTCATGACCATGTGAAATTCCCACATTGCGTGGAAAAGTTTTTGAAGTAAAAGTAAACATTTTGAAGACTAAAACTATAATTACTAGTCATGAGATAGTTGATTGTGATAGGCATTTTCAGACTCTGAAACTCAAACCTGCTCACAGATGCCTTCTCAGATGATTTCAGTAATTTGTAATTCGTAAGTAACTGTAAAATCCACTTATATTTTGAAAGGAGCAGAAATAGCACAAATGTTACCATTTCACTCTATAAAACAGGAATACTGTATGCCAAACAGTTTTCTACATGAGTCATCAAGATCAACAAGCAGGTCTCCATGGAAACGCAGACATTTATAAAATCCCAAACCTTGTTTCTAATATATCTTTTACTTTATATTATTTTATTATTTATTTTTTAAATTGCAGTAAAAGATGCACAATACAAAATTTACTATTTTAACCAGTTTTAAGTGCATAGTGGCATTAGTACATTTAACATGTATATATTTATATATTATATATATTTATATATTATATATTTATATATATTATATATATTTTATATATATAATATATATATATATATTTCTGTTTTGGAAACAGGATCTCACTCTGTTGCCCAGGCTGAAGTGCAGTGGTGCCATCATAGCTCACTACAGCCTTCAATTCCTGGGCTCAAAGGATCCTCCCACTTCAGCCTCCTGAATAGCAGGGATACATTTAAAATTTTGTGCAACTATCACCACCACCCATCTTCAGATTTTTTTTTTTCATCTTACAAAACTGAAACTCTGTATCCATTCTATGATTTGTCTATGAATTTGACTACTCTAGGTCCCTCATGTAAGTGGAATCATACAATATTTATCATTTTATGATGATTTGTTCACTCAGCATAATATCTGCAAGGTTCATCCATGTGGTAGCATATGCCAGAACTTCCTTTTTAAGGCTGGATACTATTTCATTGTATGTATATATCAGGCTTTGTCTATCCAGTAGTCCATTAGTGGGTCCTTAGGTTACTTTCACGTATTGGCTGTTGTGAATAATGCTGCTATGAACATGAACGTAGAAATATCCGTTCACATTATCAGTTCTTTTGGGTACATACTCAGAAATGGAATGGATCACATGGTAATTCCATGTTTAATTTTTGAGGAACCATCGTACTGTTTTCCACAGCATCTGCATCATTTCACATTCCCACCAGCTATGTACAAGGGTTCCAATTTCCTTAAGAACACTTGTTACTTTCTGTTTTTAAATATTAACTATCCTAATAGGTGTACATGGTATCCCACTGTGGTATTGATTTGCATTTCCCTAATAATTAGACAGGTTGAGCGTCTTTCCACGTGCTGTTGTCCAGCTGTATACCTTCTTTCGAGAAATGTTAATTCAAGATCTTTGACTACTTTTAAATCAGGTTGCTTGTTTTTTTGCTATTGTTGAGTTTTCTTTATATATTCTGGATATTTACCCCTTATCAGATGGATGATTTGCAGATATTTTCTCCTGTTCATGGGTTGCCTTTCACTCTGTTGACAATATCCTTTCATGCATGAACATTTTAAAATTTTGAAGTAATCCAATGTATCTATTTTTTAATCTTGTTGCCATAATATTTTATTTAACAAAATGGCATTCAGTTGAATTGGTCAAGGTTATAGTTATAGTCAGTTATACTCAGGGCAATTTTCCATACAGACTAGATTAATTTAAGTACATCATAGTTGTGTACTCTGTTACCCAGGCATACTGCAGAATTGGGGCAGTTTCATCTAAGTACAGGCAGGTTTTCTTATTTTGGTAATTTTTTTTTTCCATTTGATTTCTACCTGCATTTTCAAATAAAATTACTGTTTTATCTGAAGTCTTAAGTATCAACTTAGGTAAAGGAACCAATATTCGGAAAGGTTTTTTTTTTTTTTTTTTCGAGACAGAATCTCACTCTGTCACTCAGCCTGGAGTACAGTGGTGCCATCTCAGCTCGCTGCAACCTCCACCTACCAGGTTCAAGTGATTCTCCTGCTTCAGACTCCCGAGTAGCTGGGACTATAGTCATGTGCCACCACGCCTGGCTAGTTTTTGTATTTTTAGTAAAGATGGGGTTTCTCCATGTTGGTCAGACTGGTCTTGAATTCCTAAGCTCAAGTGATCTGCCTGCCTCACCCTCCCAAACTGCTGGGATTACAGGTGTGAGCCACTGTGCTCAGCCTGAAAGGTTTTTCTCACTGCCATTATTCATACTTCTTGGACTTACTACATACAAATATCTAGAAATTTTCCTCCGAGGCTGGACAGTATTCAAATTCATTTGTTCTATAGCCACTTCAGTTTCTATTCCTGTGCTATTTACATATAAGAGAGGAATGGAAATATTCTGAAACTCTACTCCGCTGTAAAAATTCCAGATTTTTAGGAAGAGTCACATTTGAAGATCCCATGATAGTTTGAGTTTATTGCATAGTGCTTTGGTTATAAGTAAAGAGACCAGAACCACATACCTGATCCAATACATAAAGTTGGATAGCTTCCTCATCACATACACACACACACACACACACACACACACACACACACACACAGAGTGAGGAAACTAGAAATAACCCAGTACTTCCAGCCAATAGGTTATCTACAGATCTTACCTAAAGTGGTGGATTTCAAGAATGCGTTAAAACAAGCAAAACAAGTTGTCCCACTTTCTACTTGGGTGGGTCACCTATAGGGCCTTTGACATTTACAATTATCTAATGTGTGACATAATCTAAATCAGTTAAGATTGTGAGTATGCTCCAAATATACTAACATTTTACATGTAGGAGATTTTGAAATATGTATTTTCAGAAAGTCCAAGTGAGAAAAAATATAGTTTGTCTACAAGTTGCCTGAGATCTAGCCAGTAAGATTTTAGGATTTCTAGGTAGACGCTCCATTCCAAAAATATGGAGATATTTAATTATCTTTTGTAATCTAAATACGTTCCTTGTTAGATGTCCGGTCTTGTAGGTCTGAAAGGATTTTGGTCTTCTAATATCCTGTTAAAAAAATGAAAGCTCAAAAAGTTGACATCATTATCAGCTGAAATAAGCCAGGAAACTGCGAGCTCTTGTGGAAATAATGCATTTGATAGTGGACTTGGAGGTCAAGGTGTTCCAAAGTAGAAGAGAGAGGTGTTAAAAGAGTGTGGATCTGCACCTCTCTCAACTGAAAATTCAGATGAATTGGAAAGTTAAAGTTAAAAAAAAAACAAAAAACGCTTTAGAATACAAAGTTTAAAAAAATGCTTTAGGATAGTTATAAAAACCTTCTCTCTCTCTCTCTCTCTCTGTGTGTGTGTGTGTTTGTGTGTGTGTGTGTGTGTGTGTGTGTGTATGTTTAGGTATATGGATTCAGATAACTTTCTAACACAAAACAAAAAGTTATTACTACCAAAAATCACTCAAAAAACTACAAGTAAAGTTAAAAGACAGACTGGGAAAACAATCACCTCAGACATAGGAGTTGATGTTTTTTATATTGAATTAAGCAAGCCTAAGACACGATGTCTTAGAAATAACAAATTTACAGAAGACTAGTATCTTAGTCCTTAACAGAGAGACATAATCATAATCATAGGGAAAAATGTACAGTTTCAAAATAATAATCTTGTATTGGCAACGAGCAATTAAAAACAAACATACGATACCAAAGGTTTATTTGATGGCTCATGCCGTTTTCCCAATCAGTATAATCAGTATAATCACTTGACTAGAGATGCCCTAAGAAGGGCCTTCTCTTCCTGAGCCACTTCTCAAAGGCCATCAGGATTTAGCTAGTAAACAAAGCGTGATTGATGTGGCATGGCTACCGTCATAATAAACACATAGCTTTTGCGAAGACCCTACGTTGAAGGGAACATGTATCTATATGCCTGCATTGTTCTGTGTAAATTGCGAAATGATTCTCAGGGACTGACTTATTTTCTGGTGAAGATGAATGCTTTTGTGTTTCCCTTCTTTTGTAGCTTTCCCCCAACAGCCTGTTTGGCTCTGAACAAATGAGTACGGTTAACAAAATATATGTGTGCATACTTTCTAAACCTGTACATTAACCTCACGTCAGCTTCTTTCCTGCTTAGTTCACAAGGGTTGTTGTGTTAGAGGCTGACCAACAAGCCACTTTTCTGTATATTCTCTAAATGGCATATTGTCTGTTCATCAGACCTTTTACTCTGGTTAAGTCTAGGTTAATTAACTGTGTTCCTTTTTCTAAGGCAATAAATCTCAATCATCTTGTTTTTCTGTTGTCTCAGCTGTAACTTTGATCTTATAGTTAAAAATTTCTATAAGATCTTATAAAGATCTTACAAAAATCTTATAATGTCTTATAGATCTTATAGTTCCTTTAAAAGGAACTGTAATTTGGAATGCTTTTCTCATAAATAAACACAAATTAGAATTTACTTCAGATGATGACAAGATCTCAGATTGAGGTCTGTAGATAGCATCTTGAGTGTCCAAAATAGCTTTCTACGAATTCTGCATCATTTAGATGCCAGTCTTATAATGGATCACTCAGTCACATCAACGCCCGAGTCTATGCTGGGCGCTGACAGTGTTTGTGCAAAGTGGATGCCAAGTGACTGCACAATAAAGGTTTCTGAGTAGTTGAAATAGCTAAGTCTTGAGTCAATCAGTGCATCTGGACCACATTCATGTGGCAAATGCTGCTTTATGGAGAGGTTTCTAACACTGGCCTGCAATAATAATTCAGCCGAGGTAAGTGAGCTCTAAATATGCAATAAAGAAATTTGATGCTTTCAGTTTTAGCAATCAATAAAATAAAAATTATTTAATGGTTGATTTCAACAAAGCCACAATGCTAACTGAAACGTTAAGCAAACAATAGTCTTTTTCGTTTTTCATGTCTTACATTGGCACTTGAAGACTGCTCGTTGGGTAAATTTGTGATTATTCTGAGCTAACTGTCTTAACAATTCTGCTTCATATAGTATATGAAATTTAAGACGCACCTTCTTACATTGGTAGGATTCGTGTAAAGTATACATAAACAGATCAGAACATAAAACCAGATCTAAGACTAATATCTGTCTGTCATCAACTCAGTATTTCATTGATCACATTGAATTATTAATTTGATATTTTCATTTTTTTTTGCTTGATTATTCTTGCGAATTTTACTTGGTTTAATGGATGCAGTTATGTTACACATTTAAAATATTCTTGGTTTTTTGTACTTAATATTATACTTAAGGGATTTTAGTCTAAGCATTTTTTCTTTAAATTGGATCTAAATATTATTGATAAATGAAAGTTTTGCAAAAAATCCTCATGAAAACAACAACAAAAGATTCCTCTCCTTTATTCAAAGGATCATGAAGAAGAAATTCCAACTAAAAAAAATCCTTGAGAATATTCCACCCATTCAAGCTGTAGTAACACTACTGTTAGCCAGATAAAACATACACTTTTGAAAATAAACATTTTATTTGGTGATTTCCCAATACCATAAGAGTAGGTGATAGAAGCCAATGATTCATTTTTACTGCTTATTTTCAAATGAAAGCTGTAATCTTCATATCTTATTTTAAGAAGTACTGAAATCTTGCATTATGAAATACATCCATATAACTGCTACACCATATTCTTAGAAATGTTCTTACTATAAGCAGAAATTCTTACTTTTCTTGTCTGCCTTTAGCTATGTTTTCAAAATGTGTGCCTTGTGAGGATGTTGCAATAGGAATACTAATATTATTACTGCTACTAATGCTAATGAAGTAGAGCTGATAAATCTTTGGGATTTTGTAGGGTTGAAAACCTTATAAAATGCTTTCTCCTACGTTAATTCTCACAATGGTATTTTGAAGAAGGTCTATGACTCAATTTACGGGTAAAGAAATTGAGGCAAAGAGGCTTACCCAAGGTCATAGAGTTAGTAATTTAGCAAAGGAGACTTTATCTTGGCAACTTCTAACAATTAATTATTGCCTCTTCTTTTTCTCTTATTGCCCCAAGCCTTTCTAACAGCCATCCTTCTGTCCTTCCTACCCCCAGCTTCTCTCCGCTTCCAGATGATCCTTCATGAAGCTACAAGAATCCCTTCTTTCCTTCCTTCTTTCCTTCCTTCCTTCCTTCCTTCCTTCCTTCCTTCCTTCCTTCCTTCCTTCCTTCCTTCCTTCCTTCCTTCCTTCCTTCTGTCCATATGTGCATATGTGTGTGTGTGTGCGCGCGCGCGTGTGCATGTGTGTGTCAGACTCTCACTCTATTGCCCAGGCTGGAATGCAGTGGTGCAATCTTGGCTCACTGAAGCCTCGACCTCCTGGGCTCAGGTGATCTTCCCACCTCAACTTACTGAGTAGCTAGGGCAACAGACACACATCACCATGTCCAGCTAATCTGTTGTATTTTTTGTAGAGACGGGGTCTTGCCATATTGGTCAGGCTGGTGTTGAACTCCTGGACTGAACTGATTTACCCACCTCAGCCTCCCAAAGTGTTGGAATTACAGGGGTGAGCCACCACACCCAGCTACATTATTTCTTATAGAAATAAACCTGAGTCTGTCTCCCCTTCTCATTAAAGAGCCTCTGCTAGCATTAATTGGCTGAAGGGCAGAATACCACGAGCCTGACATCTCTCTTCATCCTCACGCTGTAGCCATCTTTCATTACAGTCACTGCAAGTTGCATAGGATGGACAAATAACCCAAGAATGTTCCACTGGGTGGGCAATAGGCGATTATAGCATTGAAGAATAATGGTATTGTCAAAATTACTTGAAATCAATTTCACGTATTGTTGTACTATCTCAAGCAGTTCTTTTTGCTCTCACATAAATTCCTATTTGCTTATTTAAGGTCCTCTTGTGAAGAAACTTGCTGTGATTATGAGCTAATAATGCTTCCGATATTTCAGTCAGGATACGCTTAGGCCAAGTACAGAACACACTGCCATCACTATGGAAATTACCAGGTACTTTTATTTTTCTATGTCTGGGATGTCCTCCTTGCCACAAATTGCCTGACAAACCTATTCTTAAATTTTAGCTCAACTGTGTTGTGATGTCTTGCTAACTTCCTTGGGCAAGGTTAGGGTATTTATCTCATCCTCTTGTCTAGCATTCTGTCCATTCCTCCAGAAGATCAGCCATCCTCTTTGGAATGTTTTTAGAAAGCTGATACACGTAAGGAAGAGAAACAAAATCACCTATAATTCTATTACTTATTTAAAAATTAGTATAATTTTGGCTTTACTCATTGCAAATTTTTCTAGGATCTAGTTGTTTTTCTCCTTTTGTTTGATAATTCAGTAATCCTACTATACGTATAAGTGCCTTCTGCTTCCTTTCGTTATTTCATGTCTTTGAAACCATCAGTTTTAATGTCTGCATACTGTTCAGTTATGTATCATCAATTATTTATCATTTCCCAAATCTTTCAAAATATGTTAATTTTTTGTTCTTCTTTAATCATATATATCTGCAGCTCCAATTCTGTCACTGAGCTTGGCATGTTAAATATTCAGTAAATGAGTGGTTAAAAAATCTTCTGGCTGTCTGGAAACTGATGTGATTTCCCTATTATCTTACTATTTTGATGATAATCTCGAATACCAATTTGGGATTTGGGACTAATTTCCCCAATATTAGTTGAAAATTTATGATGAGGTGGGAAATGAAGTAAGAAAGGTAGAAAAACTCTCTGGATATTTTAGTTTGGAAAAATGCAATATTACACTTCCTGTAGTTATCATGACCATTCTAGGTAGACGATTGTGTTTGTAAGTGTTGCTCTTTCCTGAAATATTTCCTTTGACTCTGTCAATAGCAAACATTATTTATCAATGCCACTAATTGAATAGAAAGAAGAAGATGCCAACATCTTTAAAAAAATATCTAATGGTTTATGCATGGATAGATATCAAGCATGTGGCATGCAAATATTTTTAAAAATATTAAATTAATAGTAAACTGAAAAGGTTTACTCCTTCAGAAAGGGGAGAACTGTCTTGTGGCTCAAGGAAATGTCACAGAATGAATAAATGAGAGTTAATTATAGAAAGTTGTGCCTAAGTTTTTGGCCTTTTTAACCAACATCAGGATTTGCTTCACCCATCAGTGGACAGTGAGAGTGGGGAATGGGATAACATGTGAGTGGGTGAAACACCTTCCATTTGACCATATATATATATACACACACACAAAGGGTATGTGAAGCTAGCTGATATGGTTAGGCTGTGTCCTCACCTAGAATCTCATCTTGAATTGTAATAATCCCCATGTGTCAAGGCAGAGACCAGGGGGAGATAACTGAATCATTGGGGCCGTTTCCCTCATACTGCTCTCGTGATAGTGAGTGAGTTCTCACGAGACCTGATGGTTCTAAGGGACTTCCCCCTTCATTTGGCTCTCATTCTCTCTCCTGCCACCATGTGAAGAAGGATGTGTTTGCTTCTCCTTCTGTCATGATTGTAAGTTTCCTGAGGCCTCCCCTGCCATGTGAAATTGTGGATCAATTAAACCTCTTTTCTTTATAAATTACCCAGTCTCAGGTATGTTTTTATTAGGAGCATGAGAACGGACTAATACACTAGCTGACTCTGACAAATAATTGTTTGCTAAAATAGGTGATGGATTTGGAAAACTGTTGACACTGGTGTTTTACACATTGGCTTTCATCACATAATAAGAAACACAATATGGAAACAGTCTAGTATAGAGGAAGAAACAAGGAATTTGGATTCAGACATGGGTTCAAATTTTACTTCCATTTTTTATGACGTATGAGATCTTAGACAAGTTATTTAACCTCTTTGATCTTTAGATTTCCCATCTATAAAATTGTCAAGTTGATATAAAAGTAAAAAGAGGCAAGCATTTAGCATCTGACACACAGTGGGCATTCAAAAAGTGTAAGCTATTGTTATCATATTTTCTTACATATTGGCATATAAAAACAAATAAAAAAACTTGGGTTTTGTCTGAAATAAAAAGCAATTGACATGAGAAACATACCGGAATAGATTATCACATGACTACTGTCATTTTTTAAATAACATTTGGAACCTAGTTTATTTGATATTGTTTTAAATCTATAAACCTCTCTATTTTGGGGCACAGTTCCCCTGAAGGACATCTGAAAACTTCCAATGCACCTATCATTGACTGAGTCAATAAACTTTGGGTTTCTGGGCCACAAAAGATAGGAATCTCCAAAATGACACCTGCAGTTGCATAAAATTGGGGGCAGTATCTGCTCTGAAATTCTACCCTTGAATTATTCCATCTGAAGGCTCTAATCTGAGTCCAGTAAAAACCTCTTGCAAATGAGATCTACCAACCAAAGAACATAACTGTGCTCAGATTCTCCTTTACACTTAGAATATTTTTCTTCCCAAAGATATCAGTAGAAAGAGCTTTGCTTATTCAAGAGAGAACAGCAAGCTCACAAATAAAGACTCTTCCTCCATGCCCTGTTCTTTTTTCTGGACAAGATACTAATGAACATATGAAAACATCAAACCCTTTTGGAAGGAAAGACATATTAATGAAAATGGGAGGAATAAAAAGGGAGGTTGTGGAAAGAAGAGAGGGGAGGTGAATAAAGTCTTTATTTACTTAAAATATATAGGAAGACTATATTTGAGGTTCATGAGATAGATATAAATTAACTACCTACCCAAAATGGAATTTGGAGAAAGTAAAATCATAGTAATTTGGCTGGGGTTTGATTAGTACTGTGTGCATGTGACTGATTCAGGAGAATGGTTCATTATTTATGCCCAAGCATAGGCAATATCTCTTTAAGAACTACCGTTTCCTTTTGCAAATTGGCAATTCTCTTTCCTAATACATTTATACCAAAAAAGAAGTTTGCTAGCTGGGATACATGGGAAGGTACAAAACATTGATGGATGAATCCTCTGTTTAATTTGAAAAGATAATCAAGTCCCCTTTTCCTGAAGAACGCTTTCTCTCGGATTTTAGTGAACAATTGGTACCGCCCCATCCTGCCCATAACTTTTCTCCAGAGTAAATAGGAAGGGTGTCATTTTCACTGTTACTGTTAGAGTAATAGAGTTCTGCTGTTGTCTTCAATCAAAACTTCTCGTTTGTGAGCAGACAGAACCTTTTTACACCTGCCCCTCCTAACCATCTGTGAAGATGCTTTTCTCTATTCCATGACCGAACTAAATGAGTTCAAGGGTTTTTAAGTAACCTGTCCAGTGGCACACTATTGGTGAGTAGAATGGAAATGGAGGTCTCAAAAATCCTAGTCTATATTCTCGTGAACTCATTAAATCAATTCAATGTCATCTTGGAAGGCCACAGACAACTGTGGCAAGGAAGGCAGGCAGGTAGGCATTCATATTGGGAGACTGGCAGATAAGATGCACAAGAAAAAACTTAGTAGCAACAAATGCTTTATGACCTAAATTGGTATAGGTAGCCAGAAGGAAGGTAATAATTTTGAGAACATCAGATCAGGACGTAGAAACAAGGTGTTAGAATGAGGGAAAGGTCACCTGGAAGAAGCAGAATATAAACAACAGAGAAGATAATCTTTGAAAACACTTCATTTTGGTCTCAGACAGGCATGCAATGAGATAAAAAGATTGCTATGGTCTGAATATCTGTCTCTCCATAATTCATATGTTGAAGTCCTGACCCCCAGGTGATGGTATTAGGGGGTGGGCCTTTTGGGAGGTGATTAGGTCATGGTTATGGAGCCCTTGTGAATGGGATTAATGACCTTATACAATAGGACCCAGGGAGTTCTTTTAACCCTTGCCACCACGTGAGACACAGTAAGAAGACGCCATCTACAAATAAGAAAGGGGACCCTCACCAGACACCAAACCTGCCAGAGCCTCAACCTTGGACTTCCTGGACTCCAGAACCATGAGAAATGAATTTCTATTGTTTATAAGCTACTTTGTCTATGGCATTTTGTTATAGCCAGCAGCCTGAATGGACTAAGACAAAGATTGTATCTATTTTATACTGTGAATGACTGTCATGTAGAGTCTTAGCGGTTAAGATGATTTTGACTCTTACGTAGTCATCATTTATTCTACATTGTATTCAAGTTTGAACTTTCTATTGAGGGCCATATCTCACAAACATCAACAATTTTTTACCACTCCTGGACATTACCATAAGAAGTAAAAACTAAAAAGGGAAAAAGTAGAGACGGGAGTGCTACGTAATGAGCTAGGATTACTCACCAGATATGGGGCTGTCTGAATTTCCATTGTGTGATCACATTCTTTTTCTGAAGCACTGGGATATAGCCCTTGTTAAGGTCAAGTTGACTATATAACCATCTAGAATATGCACCAGACATCTCTGGATTTGTTCAATTTATATAAAGCCCTCTCTCTTGTACAAAGCACAGAGGCTCCAGGACCTATAGCAAAAGACAGAAATGAACTTCAAGACCCTATGACAAAGTCAAGGACATATCTGCTTTAATGACAATCACCCTGCAGAGTCTATAATGAGTGCTGTATGATCAGGGAGCTGAAATTTCTATTAAAAATAGCCTCCTCTAGATAACCTATTATATATTAATGTGAAAATTACTTCCTATATCCAACTTAAGTTACTTTGATTCAGAAGATGACTAATTTCTGCTCTCAGTAACCAGACATGCTTGATCACTGAAAGACAACCTCCCTCCCAGTACACTTCTGATGGACGGCCAGTGGGCTGTGGCCTGACAGTGCCTCCACATGGCCACCTGGACTTGCACTGACCCTAAGTAGGTCAAACTGAAGTCTTAGAGGCTTAGAAAACTAGCATATTAAATGTTTATTCATAATTTTTATTTGAAGGATATCTATTAATATGAATAAAATTGAGACACAAGGGACGAGGAATACCTGTTTTCCTAAATTCACTGTGATATAAAAAGAATTTTCTGACATGTTTTAATTCAGAGAATTGCTGTTGGTGAAGTGTTCCCTTAAAA